AAATTCAAATTATATGTGTGTGTGTGTGTATATATATATATATAAAGATCAATAATAGCAGTATGTTATGCATCAATAGCAGCAACAGCTTTTCCAGGTTCTGCAGTCATCTGAACAAATTAGAGACATCCAGCACACTCCATTAAAAAAAAAGAAAAGAAAAATACCCAGAAAACAGCAAAGTTCTGTTATCGTTGTGGTATCGGGCATCATTTTTCAAAATTAGCTTCTTGGGGCTGGGGATCTAGCTCAGCAGCACAGCGCCTGCCTGGCAAGCTCGAGGTCGTGAGTTCGATTCCTGGTACCGGAAACAAAACAAAACAAAACAAAATTAGCTTCTTAATCATTATCTGGAAAGAAAACATTCTAGAGTAACATCATTTAAAAACCAGCTCTCATAAAGCACAGTCACTACTACGTATCCTAAAGTGGGTACAAAATAGTTTATGTTCACAGAGATATGATACAGTACTGTCCTACATCTATAGTACTAAAGGATATAATTAAAAAGGCATCATTTCAGACTTGATTCTACTTTTCCAGCAGAAGGCCCAAAGGATGACATGACACAGCTCTGAAAAGAGATGAACTTTCTTATATGGGACTTCCTTTCATTAACTGCACAGGTTAAGTACTCACTCTCTTCATGAACATAAGCTAAAAACCCTTTTTTTAAAAAGCTGGGGTTGTAATTGGTTTCTGTAATGGCCAGTAGTAAATAAAGGTTCGCTCATTATGCACACTTAAAAAACAAGTGATCCAGCTCCCACCATGCCCAACCAGGGCACACGAGGCTTTTGGGCTACATATTCTATCTAAACCATAATGTGGTTTAAGCAATGAAGCAATCATTGATTTAAGCAATCATCACAAACGCACATACATGAATGTCTTGGACAGCGAGAGAGGGAGAGGTTTTTCTTCTCTGTGTGTTGCCCGTGCACATAGATGCACCTTGTGTTCCCACACCCAGTGCCTGTACAACAGCAGGAGTGCAGTGACTATTTCCGAGAGAACGAGCGGCCCTGCTGGGGTCTCCTGGGAAGGTAGCCTGGGCGTGATCAGGAGTGACAGTGGTCTTGGGCCCAGGGGCGATGGAGCAGGGTGGACAGAGGAGGCCAGGTGATTCTACTTTTCACCCACCTGAGTGGCTGGAGGTGATGAGAGGGTGGCAGGTACAAAGGAAAATTTGTTCCTTGTTCCACACATTCACTCATTGTTCTGGCAGGCTTGGTTTTCCCTTTGGGGCTGGTTCTGTGATCTCTACATGCAAGGGCACCACTGGGAACCTGGGTTTGAGAGGCCAGAGGGGCCAAACTCTGGTTTTGTTGTTGTTGCTGTTGTTTGGGTTTTTTGGTTTTTTGTTGTTGTTGTTTTGAGACAGGGTCTCACTATGCAGTTCAGGCTGGCCTTGAGCTCACTTTGTAGCCCAGGCTGGTCTCAAACTTGCAGTGATCCTCCTGCCTCAGCCTCCCAAGTGCTGGGACTATAGGCATGCACCACCACACTCAGCTTTTCTCTTTTTCTGATACAGGTCTTGCAATGTAGTCCAGGCTGGCCTCAAACTCATGACAATCCACCTGCCTCAGCCTCCCAAGTGCTAGGATTACAAGTGTGCACCACCAAACCTGGCTGTTTTATTTTCTTCCCTGCTTTTGTGGTACTAAGGATTGAAGCCAGGGCCTTTGCACTGAGCTACATCCCCAGATCTCCAGCCCCATTTTTGAAACAGGGTCTTGGTAAGTCACTATATTGCCTAGGCTGTAATTAAACTTGTGATCCTGCTACCTGCTGCCTCAGTCTCCTGATTATCTGAAATTACAGGTATGTGCTACTGTTGGCCTAGCTAGACACCCAGATTCTTTTTTTTTTTTTTTTTTCCGGTACTGGGAATCCAACTCACAACCTCGCTTTTGCCAGGCAGGCGCTAAATCCCCAGCCCCCACCCAGATTCTTTCTCTCTCTCATTCTCTCTCTTTATTTAAGATGGTCTCTAGGTCAGGCTGCCCTTGAACTCATTATGTAGCCCAGGTTGGCCTTGAACTTGCCTTGTTTCCACCTGTCTCAGCCTCCTGAGTGTTGAGGTTTAGCGATGTGGCGTCACACTTGGCTAAACCCACATTCAGACTGTGCAGGTGATGCCTGCTGTCAAGTCCAGTTTTTTCATTCCACCTCATACTTGGGTCCCTAAACCCTCTGCCTCATCTCTTTCTGCTTTATAGCCTTCGTCTCCTAATGGTCTCTAACTTATTTCCTGACTCTCACCTCTGTGCCCAGTTTATTTATTTGCTTGTTCACTTATTTATTATGAGACAGGGTCTTGACACCATGCTCAAATAAACAGGCTTCCAACTCTTTTGCTCAAACCATACTCCTTTCTCACCCTCTTGAGTGCTGGCATTACAGGTTATATTACTGGTGATAGCAGAACTAATTTTAGTTAATATAGCTACACAGCATTAAATCACACTGAAAATGAAAAAAATTAATAAATGCATTGTTTTTTATTATATCAAGAGAAAGCTTAATTTGTCATTCATTTCTTTTTTTTGGGGGGGGGAGGTTTCCGGTACCGGGAATTGAACTCACAACCTTGCACTTGCCAGGCAGGTGCTGTGCCACTAAGCTAAATTCCCAGCCCCCTAATTTCTTTTTTCTGAGTTAATTAAGTAATTGGTATGAGGATTGAACCCAGGGGCTTCACAATGAGCTATATCTCCAGCTATTTTGTAAAGAAAATTTTTTTGAGACAGGGTCTTTCTAAATTGCCCAGTCTAAACTAGAACTTTCAATTCTCCTGCCTTAGCCTCCCAAAGTGCTGGGATTATAGGGATGAGCCACCACGCCTGGTTTATGTTTTCATTTCAAGAGTCTCTCTAAGTTGCTAAATTGAACTCACTCCATAGCCCAAGGACCTCATGGAGATCCTCCTGCCTCAGCAATCTGAGTGCTAGGATTATAGGTGTGCCTGGACATACCCAGCTTCTTCATAGTATTTTTTTTTTTTTTTTTCTGGTACCAGGAATCTAACTCACGACCTTGCACTTGCCAGGCAGACGCTGTGCTGCTGAGCTAAATCCCCAGCCCCCATAGTATTTTTTATAGTTACTTTCTTTTTGAAAATTTTTTTTGTTGTTTTGTTTTGTTTTGAGGCAGGGTCTCATTATGTAGTACAGTCTGGCCTTGAACTCGCTTATGTAGCCCAGGCTGGCCTTGAACTCATGGTAATTCTCCTGCCTCATCCTCCTGAGTGCTGGGATTATAGGTATGCTCCACAACGCCTGACTCTAAAATTTTTCATTGTTACTTTCTTTTTGTGAGCAAGTGATACTAGTTTTAAGTTTATGAAGCTGGTCATGGTAGTGCATGCCTATAATCCTAACACTCTGGGAGGCTGAGGCAGGAGGATCACAAATTTGAGCCCAGCTTGGCAATTTAGTGAGAACTTGTCTCAAAATAAAAAATAAAAAGGTCTGGGAAGGTAACTGAATAAGGGGGAAGAGATTGAAAAAGATCAAGCTGTTATATACATGTATCAATTTCCCAAAACAAATGTAACTATTATGTATTGCAAGCATACACTAATGTAAAATAATTCTTAAAAAATATGAAGTTTCATTTATATGTACTTTAAGACTGATAAATCTGGGATGGCGATTCTATCTGTAGTCTCAGATTATACCTGCCCAAGAGGATCACTACGAGTTTGAGGCACAGAAAAATCCCTTCCCCTCAGCTCTGTATTGAGGATTAGCCAATTTGAAGTTCCAGCCTCAACTTGGTTCTGCTCTGGACACTCACTGGAGAGAATCAAAAGTTATAACCATTCCTTTCCTGTGCTGTTTTCTAAGCATCCCCCATTCTTTTAGTGGGGATTGAGCTTAGGCGTGCACTACCAGTAAACTACATCCACAGCCCATTTGTTTACTTATTTATTTTTGAGACAGCATCTTGCTTTGGAGTTCAGGCTGGCCTCTCACAGTGATCTTCCTGCCTCAGCCTCCAGAGCGCTGGGATTGCAAGCATATGCCAGCCCACCAGCCATGTTTACTAGTGACAAGATCTCACCTTGTGGTCAAGGCTGGCCGAGTAGTCGTGAAATTGCCTCAGTATCCCTGTGCTGGGATTAAAAGCTGTGCAGGCTAGCAATTCTCTTTTTCTCTCTCTGTCCTTCCCTCCTTCCGTCTTTGAGACAGGGTCTGCTATGTAGCCCAGGCTGGCCTCAAATTTGTATTGATCCTCCTGTCTCAGACTCCTGAGTGTTGGGATCACAGGTGTGTATAACTGTACCTGGCCCTTAGCAATTCTCTCATATCCAATGAATCCTTCTAGTGTTCTAGTTTTTTTGTTTGTTTGTTTTGTTTCTTTGGTACTTGAGAGTGAACCTAGTCTTCACATTGAGCTACATCCCCAGCCCTCTTAAAAAATTTTTTATCCCAGCACTTGAGAGGCTGAGGCAGGAGGATCGCTGCAAGTTCAAGGCCAGTCTGGGCTATAAAATGAGTTGAACTGCATAATGAGACCCTGTCTCAAAAAAATTTTTTTTTTTTTTTTTTTTTTTTTATTTTGAAGCTGGGTATGGTGGTGCACATCTGCAATCCCAGAACTTGGGAGGCTGGTGCAGGAGGATGTGAGTTCAAGGTCAGCACAAACCACATAGTGAGACCCTGTGTCAAAAAAAATGTGTTTTTGTTTTTGAGACAGGATTTTGAGACAGGATTCCCTAAGTCCCCAAATTCCCCAGACTAGGCTTGAACTTTTTGGTAGGGAGTTTTACGCATACAAAATAAATTAAACCGAAAATGAGAGTGAGTTTACTTTTAGCTTCCTGGGCGATTTCACTGTTTCTCAAATCAGTTATTTTTGTTTTGCTTTGTTTTGCTTTTTGTCTTTTTGAGACAGGGTCTAGCTTTGCAGTTCAGGTGGCCTTGAGCTCACTTTGTAGCCCAGGCTGGTCTCGAACTCGCAACGATCCTCCTGCCTCAGCACCCTCTTCCCCCAGTGCTGGGATTACAGGCGTGCGCCACCACGCCCAGCTTGTTTCTCAAATCAGGCATGGCTTGGTGGGGAGTAAGGAAACCTCTGAGGAAACCAGGACAAGATATTGTAACAGGGTAATCTGTACCAGAGTCTCACGAAGTCGAAGACTGAATCTAGGACACAGTGAATTAATAAGAGAGAAATAGCTCCCAATAGTGAGGAATGGACCCAGACCCTAGACAGACTGTCTAGGAGTTTTTGGTTTTTTGAGACAGGGTCTATGTAGTTCAGGCTGGCCTCGAACTTGCAGCAACCCTCCTGCCTCAGCCTATAGAGTGCCGAGACTACAGGCGTGCACCACGGTGCCTGGTTGGTTTTTATTAACTCATGCCCTCAGTTTCCAGCTTACCTGACCTAGGCCTGGCCATCCCGGCTCCATCCTGGGCCCAGTGCCTCTCCCTGCCTGCTGTCCTCTCCTAACCTGCCTGTGTATGTGAGTCCCCAAATGTCAGGCAAACTCCAGTCTCTGATTTCGGGGTCACTGCATCTGTAGTCTGTGCGAGACCGGAGGCGCGCATGAGCCGCACAGCGCGGGTATGCAGGGACGCTGGGTTCAAGCCCCAGCGCCAGAGTTGTCTCGGGGCCCACGCGCAGGGTGGGTTTGCCGGAGCTTCCGTGCGGAGTGTTTAGGAGGGAAGAGGGATGCTGGCAGCGGGCTGCGAGGAAGCAGCGCCCGTGTGAGCCGTCCCGCGAGCCGTGAACGCGGGCTCCACGCTGCTCCGAAGCCCAAGTTCAGTTCCCGAGTCGGGGCAACACAGAGACAGACTAAGCGCCGCCCCGACCGGCGAAGCGCGCCCCGGGGCCGCGCTCCTCCAGGCGAGTTCTTCACCCCCAACTGTCGCGGCGTGAGGTCACTCGCCCGGTCACGTGCTCCGGCCCGAGCGCCACATCGCCAGCCGCACCCTCCACCCCCCCGCCACGTGACTCGGCCTAGTTTCTCCAGGCCCCGCCTCAGGCCGCGCCCGCGCAGCCGCGCC